GAGGCCGCCCCTCCCGTGGTATAACTTAAACTCCTGGGTGGTGCTGTCGGCTTCCAAGTGAATCCCCTTCGCCATCAGCTGGCTAACACTCAGTAAGTTGTAACCGAGTCCTTCTGCGATGAGTACTTTTGACATGTGTAGTATGACGTTAGTCTCTCTTGATTGAAGCTGAACGACTCCTTGTCGTCTTGTGCGCAGGTTCTGGTTGTTGGCGACCGTGATGACTACTTCTCGCTGGAGTCGATGTTCGCGTTGTACGAAGCGCCCGGAGGAGCACATGTGTTGTCCGCAGCAACTATCCAAGAACCAAGTGTCTTGGCCGGACGGTTCGCTTTGAGCGATGGCGGCGTACGTCGGATTCGGCTGGAGTGATTTGCGGCGAGGCGTCCTGTTGTCGAGCTCTTCTTCCGGTGAGTAGTGTGGTGGTGATTCGGTTGTGCACGAATCGGTTATCTTCACCATGCAGTTGACTATGTTTCTTGCTCCTTGTGCAGGTTGTCCAGTTGAAGTCGTTGAAGCTTGGATTGTGGTCGTCGGATTAGCTTGCGTTGAAGTAACTTGGGTCTTGCTCCTTGTGCAGGTTGTCCAGTTGAAGTCGTTGAAGCTTGGATTGTGGTCGTCGGATTAGCTTGCGTTGAAGTAACTTGGGAGCTTGAAGGCCGTAGTTGTCGCTGTGGTGTTGTCTGACGAGACGGGCAGTGCGTGCGAGGATGGCTCGAAGTCTTGCAGATGTGGCAGAACGGAGGTACCGTTTTTACTTGATGTTGTCGATTGTTGTTGCCGTTGTGTCCTCGCTGAGTGGGAAAAGCAAATTCTGGTGCTAATGCTTTCTTCTTGTGTCTTTCTTCTTGCAGGTCCATGTCCTGCTGCTCAGCATGAATTTCGGCGCAGAGTGCCGCTTCGGAGATCCTCCCGTGTGCTCGTAATATGGCGCGAGTGGAGCGCCAGTGGGGGCCGAGACCGCCGATGACCACCGTGACAAAGGCGTCTTCTGAAATTGACCCGCCGCATCGAAGAAGCTTGTCGCGCAGTTCGCGACAGCGGCTGATATAAGCCATGCCTTTCTCGCCTGATTTCATTTCAATCGTTGTCAGCTGCGCCATTAACCTGCTTTGGTTTACGCTTCTGTTGCTTGATACAGGTTCTTCAGGTGGTTGTACGCGAGCTCCGCGGAGTTGCCGTAGCCTCGGTAAGTCCTTATGTTCTGCTGCTGGGTTGGGGTGATGTTCCTCAGCAGAATCGTGTACGTCATCATCGATTGATATGTATATTGCTGCTTCTCATATTGTGTCCCGTTTGTTGGATATGGCAGGGACCCGTCGAAGAAGCCGAGAATCTGTGCTCCTTCCATCATCAGTTCAAACTCGAACGACCAGGTGAAGAAATCTTTGCCGTCGAAAGGCTTTGTCGTTTGTAGTTTTAGGACATGCGCGAATTGCGATTGGACTTGTAACGCATCCAATGTCTTTTCTTGTCCCGATGCAGGTTGCGGTTGCGGCATGAAGCTGACGGAGCCACGTTGGGGCTCGTACGGCGCAAAGGTAGGCTGATGTTGTTGTTGTTGAATCCCGCGTGCGTAGGATGAGCCGTCGAGGCTCATCGGAGTAACGTTGTTGTTGTTGCTGTTGTTCGACTGCGCAGGCACTCCTTGCTGGTGTTGCTCGTAGAAGGACATGAAGGATAAAAATTTCTCCATCATGTTTGGATCGAAGCCTGCGGGTTTTTCCGTGGACCCAGCTGCTGGCCTTGCAGTAGTACCTTCCTCTGTCTGTAGGCCAGAGGCAGGAGGTGGAGTAGGAGTAGTGCCTGGAGAGCCGTTGGAGGAGCTCCTCTCCTTCCTTGCAGACATGTCTAATTTCTTTGTATTGAGTGTTGAGAGAAAAATAACATTTAAACTCTAAGTGCTCTCATACCATGTTGGGCTGAGAAGCCCTAGGATCTTTGTAGAGCTTAAGGTCTGAGTAGGATTGTAATAGCGGAAGCGTTGAAATAAAGAGTGATTGAACCACCTTGCGCTAGTATGTGAGGGCAAAGTAAGTTGATTAAACAAGCAAATACAAAGGTTTATATAAGAGTACAAGGAATACGAATAGATAAATTCAAACCGTTTTACTGTTGCGATTCGATACAGTGCGACTCGGGCAACTGCTCAATGTCGAGTCAGTTGTGTGTCCTTGTTGTCGCGCTGTAATTGTCGAGTCAAAGGTCGCTGACCTTTGAATTTCCTGTAACCTCCAGGCGGTTACCCTAACCTCTGAGGGTTGACTCGCGATGCTTCGATTCGGACTGCTTCGCTAGTGTCCTGAGTTTCGACACGACAGAGGCGCTTAAGACTTACTGTTCCCAACAATAGACACTCATGAAGCATACCATGGCAAAGTGAACGGGGTTTCATCGCCAAGAATACTGAGGGACAAGCTGTTGTGTTCGTCATTCTGTGTATGTTTTGTTAGAATAGCTCCTGCAATCACCCAGGATAGCATATAAGCAACATTCATAAGCAGCTCACCTTAGTGAAGGACCTTATATTTCAGCTCTCACCTTATTGTATGATGTCAAGTCTTTCAATATGCAAATCTGCGTGTGCCACCGAGTTAGTATTATGGAGGCAAGTCTTATTCCCTATCATCCCGCCAATTCCTTGGGCGAACCGTCGTCAGGGATGCAGGGTGTTGGGCGCGTGTCTTGGATTTTTTTCGCCGAAAGGAGGTGATGCCCAACGCAGCTTTCCGAGCCTCACCCCAAAAATGTCAGGTTGGGCCAGCCTCCGGCTTGGCCCCTGCACAGCCAGCTTATTGGCTGCCTTGGACATTGGCAACCGTTCCCGCTTGTGGGAAATTGCCCAGGCTTGGCAAACAGGAAGGCTTTTCCTTTCTGACAGGGTCCCCTCATCGAGTGCTGTGATTGATGGGCATCATCAGGAACCAATCACGATCAAGCAGCGACCCGTCCCCGTGACATTCCCAAGGCCACCCCATCACGCCCCTCTTGATAAAAAGATAACCAGCCTGGGCTGGCTGGATGCTTTCCGACGCTTTCCGTCGCTGGGCGAAATTCTTCCCTCCAATTCCCTGAATGCCTGCCTCTACATTCCTGCAGTTTCGCCTGGCAAAAAATTGCTACATCTGACAGTAGTGGCTGTTTCTGGACTAGTTTCGGAAGCCATGACTGATCATTGAATGCCTAGTGTTTGTTCGCTGATGCGATCGCCTGGTTGATGGCGCTTCTGACCGTTCTGTCCATTCCAGAGCCGTTTGTATGAGCTATCAGACCAGAAGGCATTTTCCCTGTGTTGCTCTTGCTCAGAGTAAGTGCTTTCTCTACTGACCAGCCTGATCATTTCCTGAGTTCAGGACGGCACCGAGCTTCCATTCTGACATTTGGAAGACCATAGCTTGCTTCTAAATATGTAACTTATTCCGATCCGGGCTGGAGTTCTGCTGATCGTTGCCGCGTATACAGTGACAGTAGTGTAGTGTCTGGAGCCGCTACTCTCGAGCGTATTCTTTATTCAAACTATATGGTGAGCATTCGGTCTATAGATATTCGTGACTTCCCGTTTTGTAGGATATCCCCTGTTTGCTACTATAAGCTCTGCATATCAGGCGCAGATAAATAAGTCTCGCGCCAACGCGTTGGCTTCTACTAACCAACATCTACTTCGCACGACAACATCTCTGCTTCCTATCAAGCTTCCAGAGTTCAAACAGGGTAAAGGTCCTTAAACTGCTTAAAGGCAGTGTTTTTGTTTGGTTGGATAATCCACGTATTGCACACGACCCTAATTCGAGCTCTTACCAGAACCCAATCTCGACTACTCAAGGGTGTATCTTCGGAAGCTTGGCATCAGCAGCTGCAGCAGCATCAACATCAGAAGCAGGAGCCTCCTTCCGCTTCCCCGCAGGTCCGAGTTTCTCAAGGGTGTTATGCACCAACAACAGGAGACACGGTCCATGGCTCCCAATCAACTCCAAGCGCAACCACTTCAGCACTGGCAGAACCAACCCCCACTACAGCAGCAGCAGCCTGGTTTTATTTCTCAGCCAATGCCATCCTGTCAGCCGCCTTTCCAGCAGCAGAGCTCCAATCAGCAGCGGAGCCTTCCTCAGCAGCCACAGCAGGCAGCACAGCAGCAGCAGCAACAGCCACAAGGCAGCTATCAGTCTTCGCAAATGCAATATCAACAACATCCTCAGCAGGTTTCTCTACAACAAGCCCAGCAGTACCAGCAGCCGGCGATGTGTCAGCAGCAGATGCAGCAACCGCAGCAACAGACGTTCCAGCCGCAACAGCAAGCGTTTCAAGCACAGCAGCAGGCTTATCAGTCGCAGCAGCAAGCGTACCCACAGCAGCCACAACCGCAGCAACAACAAGTCTACCAACCGCAATCGCAACATCAGCCACAGGCGAATTTCCAGGCACAGCAGCTACAGCAGCAGTATCAACAGCAAAACATGTACACCCAACAGCAGCAACCAGGACCAGTACCTCAACCCAACGTTTACCAGCAGCAGCCTCAGCCGCAGCATCAGCAATACCAACCAGCTCAGCAGCCTCAAGCGCAGCAGATTTATCAGATGGATCAGCCTCAGATGCCGCCATCCCAGGCACCTCCTATGCCAATCGCTGTCACCCAACAGCTCTCGACTCCTCAGCAGCAGCCGCAGCAGTTCCAACATCCTCAATACAACGCTCTGCAGCAGCAGCAGCAGCAGCAGCAGCAGCAGCAGCAGCCTATCTATTCGTCGCAGGTACCTGTGCCTTCGTTTCAGAACCAAGCGCCAGTAGCAGCACCAGCAGCAGCGCCTCCTCAGTACAATCCTGCTGCGTCTGCCACTGGCGGTCAGATGAACATAAGCCCTCCACCCCAGCAACCATTCCAACAACCGCTGGCTCAGCCGCAATTGCAGATGCAGGGGATGCCTGTGCAGGCGACATCTATGCAGGCGACATCTATGCAGGCGACGGCAATGCAGGCGATGCCTATGCAACCGACGCCTATGCAGGCGACGCAAATGCACTCTCACGTGCCAAGCCAAGCTCCCATGCAAGGTACGCACTAGCCCTCGGTCGGCACCGTTGTCCGTGTCCGATTTTTCTTCGACCATTCCACTGCACATTAACGCGATCGCTCGTCGCAACTTTCGCGCTCGCGTTTCTTGTGGTTCCGCGTGTTCTGCTTGTTGGACTCACTTTCCTGTAACAATTCGTCGTGTGACTCACCCTGTGCGCAGTGGAGTCGGGCGCGTGCGGGCCGTTCACGGTGGCGCAGTGGCAGGAGTTGGAGCAGCAGGCGCTCATCTTCAAGTACCTCGTCGCGGGAGCCCCTGTTCCGCTGGAGCTCGTTTCGCGCGTGCGCTTGTCCATGCCGCCGCTACCGTTCGGGATTCAGACGTTTCATCCCATGGGAGCCTTCATGCCATGTATGTATGCCGAAGCAGGATGCTTTATACAACAGCTTCATCATGATCGTTTGATGGTGTATTTTCACGTAAGGTGCCGTGTGGCAGCATCTTTCTTGCCATTGTTGCGATTAGTTTGTTGCTCAAAAAGAAGTTTTTTTTTTGTTTTTTTCGCTCCGTGTGTGGCTGCAGCTTTCTGGGGGCCGTCGATGCAAGTGGATCCGGAGCCCTTTAGATGTCGCCGGACAGATGGCAAGAAGTGGCGGTGCGCCCGTGAGGTGGGTTTCTCTACCTGCTTCCTATTCCCGGATAATGCCACCCTCTTCTCTTATTGCCTCCTTGCACTGCGTTCTTGTCGATTTGTGTACCTGGATGTTCCCGTGCCAAGTGCTTAACATTCCCTTTTTTTTGCCATTTCCCGCCCTGCCCTCGCTCCATCATGCCCACGCGCCTACGCGCTCGCGTGCACAGGTGGTGGCGGAGCAGAAGTACTGCGAGCGCCACTTGCACCGCGGGCGCAACCGAGCACGCAAGCTCAACGACAAGGCCACGCCCGGAACCTCCCTCGTGGCTGACGATGGGGAAACCACCCCTACAGCCACCACTGCCACCACCGCCACCACTGCGACCACGGGCATTGGTGCCGCGGATGGATGTCTCACGAGCGATGGAGTGCGGGCTATGGAGTCTGTGGACGATGGGCGGGGCGCCAGCACTGGTGTGATGGACGCCAGTGCAGGGGGTGGTGGGGTGGGGACTAGTGGTGGGGCTGGCGGGGTTGCCGACAGGACAGGCAGTCCGTCGAGTGGCAACAGCGGTGGAGATTTTGCGTCTGCGGAGTGTGCAGCAGGAAGGGAGAATGATGCGTGTGGATGGGTTGCGGGAGGGCGCGTGGGAGGGGGTGGTGGTGCGGAGAAGAGTGGGGCAACGGGCGAGGGGAATGGAAGGAGGGAGGGTGAGCCGTGTCACGGGGTGGTAACGGCGCCAGCCTCTGCTGCTGGTGCGGCTTCTGAGCCTGCAGGTGTCGTCTGTGTGCCTACAGCTGTGGTGTGTGTGTCCACCAGAGATGTGATTTCCCCAGTGCCTTTGCCCACAGGAGTGGTGTCTGTGGTGTCTACACCCACCGGGGCAGTGGCAGGCGGACACCCGCCTCCTCTTGCTCTCCCGCCCCCTGCTCATGCTGTGGAGGGCCGCTCTCAGCAGGTGCAACAGCAGCAGCAGCAGCAGCAGCAGCAGCAGCAGCAGCAGCAGCAGCAGCAGGAAAGATTGCCTGCTGGTTCCCCTCTGGCTGGGTCCCTGCCTGGAGTCGTTTCCGTGGTACAGCCAAGCCCGAAACTGACCCAATCTGAACCCAACACTCAACCCAACACACTCGCTTCTACGCGTACTGTCAACCCTGCTGTTGTTGCTGCCATGGCTAATGCATCGCCACAGCAACGGGAAATGGGGAACATCCAGGGATCTTCCAAAACTAGTGGGTGAGTGAAGCCTGGGCCACTGCATTTCCCCGCGGGTTAGTTCTCCAGGGTTTCAGGCCTCTAACTACCTGTCTGCTGATGCTCCTTGTACTGTGCAGATCGACTGTGCATGACAGTGCTGCTGCTACCCTCATGAAAGGGGACAAGCAGATTGGCGCTGCTCCCATGGATGTGGATGCACAGAAGCAAGGGAGCCAGGTTATTGCCAATGGAGTGGTTGTATTGCAGGCGAGATCTGATGCGGGTGCAGGAAAGGGGGTGGAAAGGCCAACATGTGTCAGTGGGAGCTGCAACGAGGAGGTTGTTATCGCTGATGGGAAGGACGCCTGCTGCTTGGTGTCTGGCGAAGGAGCGAAGATGGGGCAACTTTCTCAGATGCGTTCCAGAGCATCGCCAAATGTGAGTTAGTTTGCTGAGCCAGGCTTGCATTGCACGTTAGATAGATTGATGCGGAATGCCATCCATGAGTAAGTTGTGTTTCTTTGTGCTGACTCACTTATGTTTCCTTGTGTTTGCAGTGTGTGCTGCCATCTCCATTTCATGGTTCAGATGGTGGGAGTGGAGCACAGAGCCCAGTGGACATCTCTCCACTTGGGCCTGTCCCGGTCGCAGCATCTAATGAAGCGGTGAAGCATCAGTGAGTGATAACAGACATATACCGTGCATCATATATCAAGTTATACAAGGACCCTATTAACTTCACACCAATAGCGCCACACTTTGTGCCAAGTAGGCTAGAATGCGTCTAACTAGGTAAGATGGACATGTTTTATATATTCCCTTTAGTCAGGCTGGATTGATTGCTCTGATATGAAGCTTGTATTCTTATCCCGGTCAGTTGACTTGGGACGCGACATTTCTCTTCCCAGAACAACAGGTAGCAGGCTTGAAGTACCCTTATACACCCTGTTTCTCCCTACACTGAACTGTGCCGAACTGGTGGAAAACCTTGCTATCTTTGATTTGCCTAATTGAACCATAGCGAAACTTACTTAAACCACCGTCAACCGTACTCTTCCCATCTTATAACCGATTTCACAATGGCGAGAAGAGGGTGTAGGCCTATTAGGCAGACAACCATTGGCCTTGGTATGGGTACAGGCAGCCTCGGGAATTTCGCAGCCTTCTGGCCAACCAAACCCATCCTTCTGAAGCCACGATTCATATGTTCGGTTTGGTTGCGTTGCGAGCGAGCCGGTTCCTGATGCCAGTCACACAACATCGGTTGGGGCAGGCTTTTTGTCATATCCCAACCGAACTGGTAGGGCATAACTGAAGACCATGTCGTAACTACATGTCAGAGTTATATGCAACCTGAAGACCATAGGTAGTTCACTTCTACTCAAGCTCCGCAACAATTCCGCGTTGACTATCGCAAACTCTCGAAGGGAGGTCTGTGCGACTCGCATCACTAGCATCGGCCATATGTATTGCTATTCGCGAGAATTCTGCGTTGCCGTCCTAGAAAAAACACTGAAGCACGAAGCGCCGTGACAGCCTGGTAAAGCTGCGACGATGGTGGCAAACACACGCGTTAGACTAATTGCCTGATGCGGCTTAGCTCGTAGTGTCCTAGCCAGTCGGACGGCTCCAGTTTTAGGCACATCTGCGTCAGGCGGCTAGCAGCGCGACGGCGGGATCTGTTAATTCTTAATCCGGTTTCCTGAAGGACCAGGTGCAATGTCGTTCTTCTCGAGGCTTATAAAAGGGTCGCGTGTATCGGAGGATCTGGACCAGGAGTACCCCGTGAGAAAGGACGTTGACGTCACTCAAGTCAGCAAGTTCCGTCCTCGGGTAAGGAGAAGGAATTGATTATTTTAAGAGGCAATGAGTCATAGAGGAGGAGATTAGTCCTAAAGGGAGGAAAAGAGTTACTTAACGAAGGCGAAGGAGCTTCGTAGGGAAGACGATTCGGCAAGCCATTTTGACTAATTTCGTGCTTCTTCAGGTCAATGACGAAGCTTTTCGGGCCGTCAGTCAATCTCAAGAGACTACCCGTCAACCGCATCTTAGCGTCAGTCAGGCATGTCAGACAGCCAGACAATCGAACCAGGCCGTCAATAAATGATATCAGACCGTCAGTGAACTATAGGAAGCCGTCAGCAACCACATTCAACCGTCAATATTTTTTATGAGACCACCAATCAACCATCGCCAAGACTGACGATTGCCCCAGGCCTTCAGCATCAAGCACTTAACCTCAATTCCGTATCCTCTTCGTGCTTCTATTCCTAACCTCTCCTCTTCTTCCACCTCCCTCCCCCTCTTCCCCTCCCGTCCGCCCTACGCTCTCTCTTCGTTGCCCCCCCTCTCTCCCTCATTTGCATTGCAACCCCCGTTACTATCACACACTGTGTGCAGGTGAAAAAGCGACTGTCAACGGAGAGATGGGAGGCCTGTCAAGACGAGTTCGGGCGAGTGTGGGCCGTTGATGCTGCACTCAAGCACATACAGCGAGGGGTGCGTGCTTCGCGAGGGGAGATGAATGTGTGCTTGTTGCAAGGGGAGTGCGCTGATCCCCTTGAGGGGTGGGTGCTTAGCGAGGGGTGTGCTCTTATAGCGAGGAGGAGTGGGTGCTGAAACACATACAGGGAAGAGGGTGGGGCGAGGAAATGATCAGCGAGGGTTTGGAGACATGGCATGTATGTCATGAGATGCTATGGCAAGTATGTTTTGGGATGGTATGTCATGTATGTCATGGGATGGTATGACATGTATGTCATGGGATGCTGTGGCACGTATGTATCATCTCATCATGGTGTTATCACCTCGGCCTTTCTCTTTTCCTTCCATCTTCCTTTCTCATGTCTCCCCTTCCTTCTCTTTCCGCTTCCTTTCACCTGCTCCTTTTTCTTTCCCCCAACTCGTCTCAAAGTCCTTCTCACGCATATCTCTCTCCCTCGTCCATCTTGGCAGGGCGTGGAGCCTAGCATTCGAGGCGAGGTGTGGCCGTTCCTCCTGGGGCTATACTCGCTCAACAGCACGCACGAGGAGCGGAACGCCATGAGGGAAGCACGGCGGTGAGGCATCATTTCTCCCTCTCACTCTTTGTTCCTCCTGGGGCTATACTCGCCCAACAGCACACACGAGGAGCGGAACGCCATGAGGGAAGCACGGCGGTGAGGCATCATTTCTCCCTCTCACTCTTTGTTCCTCCTGGGGCTATACTCGCCCAACAGCACCCACGAGGAGCGGGACGCCATGAGGGAAGCACGGCGGTGAGGAAACCACTCCAGTGAGAGAGGCACGGCTGTGAGAGAGGCACGGCTGTGAGAGAGTCAGTGCACTGAGGCATCATTTCTCTCTCTCCGCTCTCCATTTTCCACGAGGAGGCATCACACATTGATAGGAACCCACATCCGCAACTTCCTTTACACTCCCTCCTACTCCAAGCACTGATTTCTATGCACGGTTGAAGCAGGAGTGCGACGAGGTGGATCCGGTGGTGGACAGTGAGTGGCCCTTTTACTTCCCTCTTATGCCCACTCCCTCTTTCCCCCTCCGACCTCCCACGCCCCTCCCCCTCCCCGCGCCACCAACTACAGTAATTTCTATGCGAGGTTGAAGCAGGAGTGCAACGAGGTGGATCCGGTGGTGGGCAGTGGCGTGGTCGTGGACTTCCCTCGCGTGCTCAAGGACGGCTCTGACGTCCCCCTCCCCTCCTACTACCACGCCCCTGCTCTGTTGCCGCTGCCGCCGCAGCCGCCGCCGCTGCTGCTGCTGCTTCTGCCCCCGCTGCTGCTGCGTCTAACCCCCGTCCGCCCCCCCCCACCCCCCCCTTCCTTCCCCTTCCTCCCCCACCACCAACAACAGTGATTTCTATGCGAGGTTGAAGCAGGAGTGCAACGAGGTGGATCCGGTGGTGGGCAGTGGCGTGGTCGTGGACTTCCCCCGCGTGCTCGAGGACGGCTCTGACGTCCCTCTCCCCTCCTACTACAGCGGCCCGCACATCGACGACCCCTCTTCCACACATGTAGATGTGAATGGAGGAGGAGCAGCAGGGCGGGACGGTGGAGAGGGGCAGAGTGCGGTGCTGACGGAGCGGGAGAGGCTGGTGGGGCGCGTGGGGGAGGAGCGGGTGCGCAAGTGGCGCTTGGGGCTGCATCAGATAGGCGTGGACGTGCAGAGGGCGGATCGCACGCTCGTGTTCTACGAGGAGGAGGGCAACCGCTCGCGTCTGATGGAGGTTTTAGCGGTTTATTCCTGGTTCGACCCCGACGTGGGGTACTGTCAAGGTGGGTCCTGGTGGGGTGGGGCGGGCTTAGTCATGGATCGTGGGTGATGAGTGATGGGTGATTGTTGTTGTTGTGAGGTGCTGGCTGTTGGGGCACCGCAAATGTGGGATGGATTTGGGTACCCGCCAAGGTGGGATGGATTGGGGTACCGCCAAGGTGGGATGGATTGGGGTACCGCCAAGGTGGGATGGATTGGGGTACCGCCAAGGTGGGATGGATTGGGGTGATCATTGTAGTGGGTTCCCTTCCCTTGGCTGTTCTCCCACCTCGCAACCCTCCGTCGCGTCCAATGCAGGCGTGAGCAACCTCATGTCTCCCAGCATTCGTACCTCCCTGCTTCATACCTTTACCTTCTCACTCCCTACCTACCACCGCCGCCCATCTCACTGTGATCACGCACGAACGACTTTTTGTCGCCTGTCATCGTCATTTTTCCCCCCACTCCTGTCTATTTCCCTCCCAACCTGGCCCAACTATCTCTCCCATCCCTCCGCGAGTAGGCATGAGCGACCTCATGTCGCCCTTCATTGTCACACCTCACCTTTCATTCCTTCCACTCCTTCCTTCCTTATTGCCCCTCGACCCCAACCCTTTCGCCCAACTCCCTCCCTCCCTGTGCAGGTATGAGCGACCTCATGTCGCCCTTCATTGTCATCTTCCCCAACAACGCTGATGCTTTCTGGTGCTTCGAACGCCTCCTGCGCCCCATTGTAGGCCTACGGACATGGGGAGGGGGGGAGAGGGGGGGGGGGGGCGGTGGAGTGGACTGTGGAGTGGAGGGGAGGAGGGAGGGAAGGTTCCCGTGCCCCATTGTCGGTCCACGGATATGGGGAGAGAGGGGGGGGAAGGGGGAGTGGGAGGGGAGGGGGTGAGGGAGGGAGAGGGGAAGGGAGGGAGGGATGGGGGGAGGGATTGTGGTACTTTCGACCTTGTGTGTGTGCCTTGTCTTTCCCATGTGTTTGTGCCATGCAGAGGAGCGACTTCGTGGGCACGTCAGCCAGCATAGCCTCAAGAATGAGTTTTCTCAGGCGCCTCACTCACAAGCATCTCGCCCTGTGTGTGTGCGTGAGCCTTGTCTTTCCCATGTGTTTGTGCCGTGCAGAAGGCCATGGCTTTCCTGGGCACGTCAGCGAGCATAGGAGTGCAGAAGGAGATTGACAACCTCAAGAACGAGCTTTGAGGCGCCGCGCCTCACAACTCCCCCTTGCGTGCACATCTTGTCTTGCCCTGTGTGTGCATCTTGCCTTGCCCGTGCGTGCACCGTGCAGCGGAGCGACTTCATGGGAACATCAGCGAGCATAGGCGTGCAGAAGGAGATTGACAACCTCAAGAACATCACGCGCGTGCTCGACCCCGAGCTCTACGCGCATCTTGGTACTTATCAAGCTCTGTGTGTGGTTGAACCATGTGTGTGCACCCTCCCACATAGACATGGGCAGTCAAGTCGAGTTTTGGCTCGACTCGCTGACTCGACTCGACTCAAAATCGAGTCAAGTCAGTTAGAATATTTTTTTGACTCGAGACGAGTCGAGTCGAGTCAACATTAGGGGAAAGGTCGATGCATCGTCTGACTCGACTTCAGAGAGTCGAGTCAGCAACGAGTTCGATTCCTGCTAAGCTGACTCGGTAATCACCAATTTCAATTGTGCGGGTTCCCGTTGTCAATTTCGCCATGCAGTTTCCTTTCCCCCGTCACTCAATTTCCCTCCCCCCTCATGCGCAGTCCTTCCGTCATTCAATTTCTTCCCCCAACCCCACTGAATTCCCCCCCGTCACTGAATTTCATGTGCGCACAAAACGACTAGGGCGGATGGGGGGTTGGGGGGGGGGGGAGACATTTTGACATTACTACCTTGCATGAAGTGGCGACAACAATCTTTTGTTGTTGCAGGCACATCGCGAATTCAGATCTGAACGCGACTGCTTTTTTGGGGGGGGGTGCGCCCCTTGAAAATACCTAAGGTTAAGTCGAGTCAAGACAGACTCGCGAGTCGAGTGACTCGATCTCGAGTCAAGGCCTGACTCGACCGCAGAAGTCGAACACGAGTCGGCAGTTATTTGTTTTTTATCTGACTATGGCTCGACTCGACTCGACTCGACTCGACTCGGCTCGACTCGACTCGACTCGACTCGACTCGACTCGGCTCGACTCGGCTCGACTCGACTCGACTCGACTCGACTCGACTCGACTCAGCTTGACTCGACTCGACTCGACTCGGCTCGACTCGACTCGGCTCGACTCGGCTCGTCTCGGCTCGACTCGGCTCGGCTCGGCTCGGCTCGACTCGACTCGACTCGACTCGGCTCGACTCGACTCGACTCGACTCGACATAACTCCCGACTCGAATACAACTCGAGGCGACTCGGCTCGACTCGACTCGTGCCCATGTCTACTCCCACACAAGCACTGCACCCTCAAGAACATCACGCGCGTGCTCAACCCTGAGCTCTACGCCCATCTTGGTACTTACCGATTCAACTAGGTAGGTGCCGCTAGGTAAGTACCGCTGGGTAGGTACTGCTCAGTTCACCATGTGTGTGCATTGCATCCACACAGAGGACTGTAACCTCGAGAACATCACCCGCGTGCTTTCACCCCGAGCGTTGAGACGTCTCAAAACCCACACAGAGTACTGTAACCTTAAGAACATCACCCGCGGGCCTGATCCAGAGCTATTCGCCCATCTAGGTATTGTTCCGTTCAGTTAGGTAGGTGCGTTTAGCGGCGAATTCCATGTTCTTCACAGCACGCCCCATCATGGCCATCCTTCTGTGCCCCCTGGCCTCGGTTATCATTTCCCCCATCCCCCCTGGCCTCGGTTATCATTTCCCCCATCCCCCCTGGCCTCGGTTATCATTTCCCCCATCCCCCCTGGCCTCGGTTATCATTTCCCCCATCCCCCCGGCAGACGAGATAGGAGCGGGGTCCATGTTCTTCACAGTGCGCCCCATCATGGCCATGTTCCGCCGGGAGCTCTCCTTCGCTGACTCCATCTACTTTTGGGAGGTACCACTGCTGCCCTGCCTGCTATTTTTAGCATCAATTGCTATTTTTGAAAGTATTGGGCACCATGTTCCTTACAGTGCGCCCCATCATGGCCATGTTCCCCCGCAAGCTCTCCTTTGCCGACTCCATCTATTTCTGGAAGGTACCACTGCTGCTGCCCTGCTTGCCATTTTTAGCATCCACTGTTATTTTTGGAAGGTGTCCCACTTTGCTGCAAGTTGAGAATTGAGAAAATTTCGTCCTGTTCTTCTGACTGCATGTGCTTCTGATATGCATTTTTTACTGTTGAGAGGTAGAGGCTGTGTTTTCTATTCTGGGTTGCATTACCCCGCACTGGCCAGCCCCCTTATTGCCACGTCCCTTTATGGCCATGCACTACTCCTCCCCACACCGTCCCCTCTCCCCCCCCTCCCCTCCAGCTGATGTGGCCATGGGACTATGATGTTCGACTACACACCCTCCCCCCCCCCTACCCCTCGCCATTCGCTCTCTCCCTCTCCCCACTTCCCTTCCAGATGATGTGGTCGTGGGATTACGATGCTCGGGATGCGGATCTACTAGCCATGGCGGACCAATCCGTGTTAAATCACCACGCCGTGAACTTCCCTCATTCCGCCGCCTCCCCGCATGCCCTCCACCAAAACTCGTTTGCGGCCGCCACCACCGCTGCTGCAGAAGCAGCCGCAGCGGCCGTGGCAGCGTGTGAGAGCTCTGGCTCTGGCTCCTCTGGGGTCGAAGCGATCCCATCTGGTGCGGCCAAAGCTGCTGCCAAGGCTGCTGCTGCGGAAGCTGTTGCTGCGGCCGTCTCGTCTTCTGGGAGATCTGGGGTGGACGGGGTGACGCCTGGTGCTGCCCGGATGGCCGGTGCTGCGGCTGCAGTGGTGCGGGTTGCTGGGAGGGAGGAGGAGGGGCAGCAGGGGGGGAAAGGGAGGGCCAGCCCTTTGAGACCAGGTAAGCTGGGAGGGGGGCTGGGGGGCATGGGATGCCGTTGGGGGCATCAAACTGGCTGCCGTTGCTGCGGTGGGGAGGGTTGCTGGGAGAGAGGAGGAGGGGCAGCAGGGGGGAAAAGGGAGGGCCAGCCCCCTGAGATCAGGTGGGCTTTGCAACATTCTAACATGATGCAGCTCTGATACGTTTTCCAATACATTCTCGAAATGATGGAGCTGTGTGGCATTTTGAAATGATGGAGCTGTGGGGCATTTTGAAATGACGGAGCTGTGGGTCATTTTGAAATGACGGAGCTGTGGGGCATTTTGAAATGATGGAGCTGTGGGGCATTTTGAAATGACGGAGCTGTGGGGCATTTTGAAATGATGGAGCTGTGGGGCATTTTTAAATGATGGAGCTGTGGGGCATTTTGAAATGATGGAGCTGTGGGGAACTTGTCTAACACTTCGAAGTTAGAATGGAAATAAGACCTCCGCAGCCCGACTGTCCTCTTTTGACAGCTGTGGGGCACTTGTATAACGATTGTGAAACTAGGAGAGCGGGAAGGGGTTCAGGTGGGAGCAGGTACAAGGTGTAGGTTAGGGTGTTTAGGCAAGCCAGTGTGCGTCATGTGAGTGATGTGTTGTGATGGCAATGTGATGAGGCACCCCATTATCCCACGACATTACCCCATGTCATCACCCCATGCCATCAACCCATGCCATCACACCCCATGCCATCACACCCCATGCCATCACACCCCATGCCATCACACCCCATGCCATCACCCCATGCCATCACCCCATGCCATCACCCCATGCCATCACCCCATGCCATCACCCCATGCCATATCACCCCACCATCACTTGATCACCCATCATCACCCCTGCAGGCACACGCTCCACTGCAGCAGCGTGGGCGAGTGTGGAAGCAGCAGTCACCTCAGGCGCTCTCACAAACACCAGACAGAATTTCTCTAATCCACTGTCCCACATCCCATCGTTGCGTGACCCCCCCATCACCCTATCATCACTTCATCACCCCATCACCTCACCCCACCACCCCATGCCACCACCCCTGCAGGCACACGCTCCACTGCAGCAGCATGGGCGAGTGTGGAAGCAGCAGTCACCTCTGGCGCTCTCACGGACACCAAAAGGAACTCCTCGTCCGACCCTGCCGGTCCCGGTGGCGGCAGTGCTGCTAATTCCCGCGCCAGCACCCCCTCACTCCCCGCCAACCGCCTCCCCTCCCGAAAGCACCACAGCGAGCGCAAAGTCCCCGCCGCCGCCACCACCCCCCCCACCACCAACAACAGCACAGGCAGCCGGGCCATAGATGGGGCTCGCTCCCGCAGCTGGGCGGGCGTGGGGCCGTACAGGAAAGACGTGATCCGTTACGTTACTCTAGATGCTTCTGCTGGCAAGCTAGCTGCAAGCAAGAGTGCCAAGTACCTCTCCTCGCGGCGCTCTGCTGTGGCTCTCTGGCACAAGGCGCAGAAGCTCGCAGGACCGGTGGGTACGGCTGCTGCTACAGCTGCCATGCCGGGTGATGCTGTGGTGTTTGCTGTCTCGGCGTTTGCCGGCCGACCAATCACACCAACTTATGCTGCTGCTGCCGGTGCAGGTGCCGGTGCCGGTGCCGGTGCTGCTGCTGCTGCTGGTGGTGCTGGTACAGCTTCAGTTCCGCCGCAGCTGAATCTGCCTCCGAAGGCTCATCGACGGACAGGATCGTTCGGGCTTGGAAGAAGAGGCAGCAAGAAGCACCCCCACACCGCTGCACCTGCTTCCCCCACACCACAGCAGGCGCCCTCAGCAGCAACAACCGAATCCGCGCTAGAAGCAGCAGAAACAGCAGTAGAAAAAGCAGCAGAAGCAGGAGCGGTAACAGGAGCAAGTGCAGCAGATGCGGCGGCAGCAGCGGCAGAGGAGGCGGGGGCGATAGTGCCCCCGCAGCCGTCGGCGTTCTATGCTCTTCCAGAGTCGGCGGGGGTGGCGGTGCCGTACGTGCGGAGGGAGGAGCAGGAGCGCATGACGACCTTCTGTGTGCTCGCCATTGTGCTCAAACTGAGGGACGAGTTTATCGACGACGCCTCTGGGCTCGACGATGTGGTGGATGTGAGTGTAAAGGGGGAGGGAGGGGGTTTGCAGGGGAGAGAGGGGGCGGGCGGGGTTGGAATTGGTGAAGGCCAGCGCCCTGGGGGCTGGTTGGGTGATGCATGTGAGTGGAGGGTGGGTGGGTTGGGCTGTGTGTGAATGGGAGGGCATAGCGGTGGTGGTGTGCCGTATGTGCGGAGGGAGGAGCAGGAGCGCATGACCACCTACTGTGTGCTCGCCATTGTGCTCAAACTGAGGGACGAGTTCATTGATGACGCTACTGGGCTCGATGATGTGGTCAATGTGAGTGTAAAGGGGGGAAGGAGAGAGAGGGGAGGGCGTGTGGGTGTGGGGCAGCAGTGGGGGAGTCCTGGGTATAGGTTGGGGTAGTGATGTAGGCGAGGGGTTGTGAGGCTGTGTGAATGGAAGGGGGTGGGGATGGGTTGTGTGTGAATGGGGGGGGATTGTCTGCGGTTTGCTGGTTGGGCATACGGTTGGACAGGGTGGGGGACCCGAGTGTGTGTGTGTGTGTGTGTGTGTGTGTGTGTGTGTGTGTGTGTGTGTGTGTGTGTGTGCGTGCGTGCGTGCGTGCGTGTGTGTGTGTGTGTGTGTGTGTGTGTGTGTGTGTGTGTGTGTGTGTGTGCGAACCGCAAAAGCGCTCATTCTCCCTGTTTACCGCACTTTCCTGGTGGTTTGCCCTTTTTTTGCACGCCTCAAAAATGAAAGTTCCCATTATCCCTTGTCTGTCCCCACCACCCTCCCTTCTCCTCCCCTGGCCCATGTGTTCTCTCCTCTATGAAGATCGGTTTTGAGACGTCTCAAAACCAATCTTCATACATGTGGCTTTTCTCCCCTGGCCCATGTGTTCTCTCCTCCTTTTGTGCTTACCTCCCTTCTTCCCCTCCCCTCCCCCTTTCCCTGCGAGTGTCTCTCAGAGTTTCAATGCAGCAGCAGGGTCGTGGGACGTGATGAAGCTGTGTAAAAGAGTAGTGGATCTCTATTCTTTTGCTTCAACAAGCTTTAAACTCCTTTTCTTGTGCCTCTCCCCCCCCTCCCCTCCCTGTGAATGTCTTTCAGAGCTTCAATGCAGCAGCAGGGTCGTGGGACGTGAAGAAGCTCTGTAAACGAGCAGTGGATCTTCATCGGCAGTACCTTGTTCTGGTATGTGCTTATAACGAGGCAGGACCTTCCAGGCATTATTGTGCTGCAGATCGAGGCATTATCCTGGTAACTTTGCGTCTCGTTTTGAGCATGTGTGATAGCATGTGTGGTTGCATGTGTGATTGCATCAAAATCGTGTGGGTGATGATGTTGCGAGCGTGTGTCGACCGCATGAGTGCACGTGTGCCTCGTATTGATACTAGTAGTATGCCCTGCATGTAAAAAAATCAGATCCGATGCTCCCAAGTCCGCCTTTCCCCCACCTACACTGCATCCCTCCCCCATCCACCTTTCCTCCCCTTACTCTTCGCCCACTCTCCTCTCTCTCTCTTCCCACAGAAACTGGCTGCGCATGAGCTAGGCCGAACCCTCTGATCTATCAACTCGCATTTCCCTCAATTGCCTCTGTCCCATCCCGTCTTCCCCTCCACCCACCTCCTCTCTCTCTCCTGTCCTCTCTCTCTCTCTCTCTCTCTCTCTCTCTCTCTCTCTCTCTCCTCTCTCTCTCTCTCTCTCTCTCTCCTCTCTCTCTCTCTCTCTCTCTCTCTCTCTCTCTCTCTCTCTCTCTCCCCCCCTCCCTCCTCCCTCCCTCTCTCTCTCTCTCTCTCTCTCTCTCTCTCTCTCTCTCTCATCTCCTCTCTCTCTCTCTCTCATCTCTCTCTCTCTCTCTTCTCTCTCTCTCTCTCTCAATTGCCTCTGTCCCATCCCGTCTCCCTCCACCCACCCTCCTCTCTCTCCTCTCTCTCTCTCTCTCTCTCTCTCTCTCTCTCATCTCTCTCTCTCCTCTCTCTCTCTCTCACTCTCTCTCTCTACATCTCTCTCTCTCTCTCTCTCTCCCTCGCTCTCCCTCCCTCCCTCCCTCCCTCCCTCCCTCCCTCCCTCCCTCTCCCTCTCTCTCTCTCTCTCTCTCTCTCTCTCATCTCTCTCTCTCTCTCGTCTCTCCTCTCTCTCTCTCTCCTCTCTCTCTCTCTCCTCTCTCTCTCTCTCTCTCTCTCTCTCTCTCTCTCTCTCTCTCTCTCTCTCTCTCTCTCTCTCTCTCTCTCTCTCTCTCTCTCTCTCTCTCTCTCTCTCTCTCTCTCTCTCTCTCTCTCTCTCTCTCTCCCTCTCTCTCTCTCTCTCTCTCTCTCTCTCTCTCTCTCTCTCTCCCTCTCTCTCTCTCTCTCTCTCTCTCTCTCTCTCTCTCTCTCTCTCTCTCTCTCTCTCTCTCTCTCTCTCTCTCTCTCTCTCTCTCTCTCTCTCTCCCCCCTCTCCTCTCTCTCTCTTCCCACAGAAACTGGCCGCGCATGAGCTAGGCCGAACCCTCTGATCTATCAACTCACTCGTCCCACAATCTCCTCCAGTTACTTGTAGCTTAGTCAAGCCATAGAGCAATGGCGGCTGCAGCCACTGCCTATGGCTCAAATTTTGAACATTTTTGTACACAATATAAATCTGAGTTGGTAGGAGCATGATTCTGGGTGCAATATTCTGGGAGCTTGACTCTAAGAAGGCCAAAGACCCAAGTGTGCCATGCGTACACTCCTAGTTTCTAGTTACCAGGTAGTGCTGTGCTCAAGTTATCAGAGCCAGGAGTTACAAAAAGGTTTGAGTGTAGATGTAGGGTTTAAACAAAACTTGGCTTGTTTTGCGTACAGCATGAGTTTCACAGCTCGTGCCAGCAGAGTGGGGCCACATTTATTCATCCAGCGAGCTGAACCATCATTACCACATCTTGAGCCCTTGGCAGTTCTCAGCAGTTCTCACATGTTGAGCGGATTAGCACTCCTCAGCAGACCTCAGTGGAGCTCAGCAGTCCTCAGCGGTGCTCAGTGTTCCTCAGCGGTGTTCAGTGGTCCTCAGCGAAGTTCAGTGGTCTCAGCAGTGCTCAGTAGCAGACTAGCGGTGCTCAGCGGTCCTCGGCGGTTCTCAGCAGTTCTCGGCGGTGCTCAGCGGTCCTCAAAGGAGATGAGCAGGGCCAAGCGACGGTGCACCTGACAGCACACACGCGGTGAGAAAGAAGATTAAGAATTTCAGACATCAAAAGAAAGCAGAATTGGAAACAAGACAAACTGGAAAAATAACTTCTTCTGAGATGACTCAAACGTCACAGCTAGACTGACCTCTGAGAGCTGCTTCAGGGAATGACTCTGCTGCTGCTTCAAGTCCTGTTTCACTTGAGGAGACAGCTTGTAAGGGGGATGCGACGAGGAGTTCTCTTTCTCAACACTCTCTAAAAGCTGTGGCTGAGGGGCCGATCGGTGATGGGACGATGAGGGCAAAGGCATGGCGTTTTGGGAGGCACCCAAAGGCGATGGGCGATTGGATGAGGAAGGAAACGCTTGCATGGATGCCGATTCCGAAAGGGAAGGTGAGACTGGAAGTGATAATGAGGTGGAGATCAGGGAGGATGAGGCAGAGGAGGAAGAGGAGGCAGAGGAGGCAGAGGAGGCGGGGAACGGAGCTTCGAGAGAATCAGCTGGTGAGGAACGCGCTTCTTCTGATGTCGAAAGGGACGAGGTGGATGATGATGATGTGGCGCTGTCTGATTGGAGGAGCCGTTCGCACCGTTGGATGTGGGCTTCAATGCGAGCTGCCTTCCTCTGCAGCTGATCTCGCATCTTTTCCCGGGCTGCCCGGTTCACCTGCCCGCTCATCAGCTTTCTCCATTTCTTGCCCACTTCTTGCTGCCCCGAGCGCCGTTTTTCCACCATCACTCCAGTTCCCTCCTTTACCCCTCCTACTACTCCAGATGAATCCAATGAAGGGCCATGAGCTGATGTGAGTGCAACAGGTGTGACTGAAGCAGGTGTGTCAGCAGCAGTGCTGGATGTGACTGTATTGAGTGGGGCAGCAGTGGCGGGTTGTTGGGGGTCGTACCAATGGCGTGGCAGGCCAGCAGAGGCACGAGCGGCATGGTTGAACGGCCCTTTCACGCCATCGGCACACAGGGAGCGAATCACACCTGAAAAGTACAAGGGACGAATGGAGAGGTAGGTATGAGAGTCTGAGAGGTGGGTACGGTACATGTGAGGAAGGTCCAAGCAGGGCCATAACAGGCCAGCAGTGGCACGAGCTGCATGGTTGAACGGCCCTTTCACGCCATCAGCGCACAGGGATCGGATCACAGCTGCACAGAGAAAGAGAGGAATGGAGTGGTGGGAGCAGGTGAAGAGGGTCTTACCCAGAAGCCATTCTTCTTTAGGAAACAATCAGAATACATGTAAAGTTTTGAGTCGACTCAAAACTAGAAAACCTGTAAAGGATGTATGCAGGTCCGTCCTCACACTGTGAATCCCACCCACCACACCCGCATCCCTCCCTCCCTCCCCCTCCCCCACTCACTTGTGAAGGATATCTGTGGGTCCACACCCATGCACTCGCACACCTAGACAAACCACACCACCATGCGCTTGTAAGCTGTGAATCCCACCCACCACACCCGCGTCCCTCCCTCTCCCCCCCTCCCCCACTCACCTGTGAAGGACATCTGTGGGTCCACACCCATGCACTCGCGCACCCAGATAAACCATGCCACCATGCGCTTGTAAGCTGTGAATTCCACCCACTCAACCCCTCCAGCAACACTCACTTGTGAACGACGTCTGTGGGTCAACCCCCATGCGCTCGCACACCCAGACAAACCATGCCACCCCGACTGCCACGTGTGCCACCTCCTCCTGTGCTATCTTGGCCACCACCGCGGCACTCCTGTTGTCTCCCAACCCCACCAGCCGCTCCACCAGCCGCGGCCCCGCGTCCAACCCCCTCGCCTCCTGCCAGAAGGGATGGAAGGAGGATGGAAACAATTTTAGCCGTCTTCTCTTTTGATTCCTCCTCTTTCAACCTCCTCCTGGGTTATCATTGCCACCACCGCTGCACTCCTATTGTCTCCCAACCCCACCAGCCGCTCCACCAGCCGCGGCCCCGCGTCCAACCCCCTCGCCTCCTGCCAGAAGGGATGCATGGAAGGAGGGTGAACGGAGGAGAGGGAACGTGAGGAGGCTCTTTGTTAGAAGAGCGATAGAGAAAACTCGAAACCGACTTGAACTGCAAACGGACCTCCTCTTTCAATCTCCTTTCCTTCATTCCTCCTCTCCTCCTCTCCTCCATTTTCCCCTCCCCTCTCCTCTCCTCACCGCTGCTGCTACCCCCCACCCCACGTGGTCAATCCACCAATCAACGACTTGTACAAGATAGTCTGTAAGTGCAACATCATTGGCCGGTACCAAGGACTTCACATGATGAATAATCCCTAGGTGCGTCGTGATTGGCCAGTGGTACCTGCACCATGGGAATGACTGCCAGCCTGTCTTGCACATGATTGGCCGACTTCTCGCAGTCCCTCCAGAGCAGGTTGTGAGCTGGCATGTCACCGTAGCTGCAGGTGGGGATGAGATGGGGATAAGGGAAGAGTAGGGGGCGATACGGGAGAAAATGAGTTGGGGGAGAGATGGGGGAAAAAAGTAGTTGGGGGAGAGATGGGGGAAAAATCAGTTCGGAGAGAGATGGGGGAAAAAATAATTGGCGGGGAGATGGGGGGGACTTGGATAGCGGCAGAGACAACATGGGGAGAGTGTGGGGCCATGACATATAAGAGCAGCAAACAACTAGCCATGAGCACCCTGCACCATGTGCGTCCCACATCCCACATGCACTGCATCCCCCCTTCACTGCATCCCACCTGCACTGCTCCACACACCACCTGAATCGCACCCCACCTGCATGCACCGCATCCCACCTGTGCCCCATCTCTTCCAGGCGCTGCAGGCACCATGCCAGGTGTCTGCTCTCATCATCTGCCACGTGTACAAAATCCAAAAAGAACTGACGTGGAAGCTTCCATGATTGCTCCAAGTTCTCCCTTCTCCCCTCCTCCTCCCCATCCCTCCCACCCCTTCCACTCCACACCCTCTCCCCCTCCTCGGCTCCCCCTTCCCCCTCCTCGGCTCCCCCTTCCCCCTCCTCGTCCCCCCCCTCCCCCTCCGCCCCTAGAGCGGAGAATCTGACAACAGTATCCCATGCCAGGTCAATGGCGTTCAATTCCACGTGGGCTAGGTTGTGCAGCATGTGCGCCGGCCAGGGTAAGGGGGAGGAGGGTCCAGGCTTGGGGATTGCCCGCGGGTGAACCTGAGGAGTGGTTGGGGGGGGTCGTGAGGGGTGGGGAGGGGTGGGGGAGAGTGCGGAAAGGAAAGGTATGGGGTTGGGTGGGGACTGGGATGGGAAGAGTGGCGGAAGGGGAGGGGGAGTGCGGGGCAGGGGATGAGGAAGGGAATGCAGAAAGCTGGCCTCCCCAAGGCTCATCCCCCCATCGCTTTCTTCCCCGTCCCGATCTCAACCCCGTTGCCCCTCATTCGCTTTCTCCCCTCTCCCCCTCTCCCCCTCTCCCCCACTTCCCCCCACCTTCACTCCCGCCTACCCCGCCTTCCCCCCACTTTACCAGCTCTGGCCGCGCCGGCCGCGCGGGTTTCGGAGGGGCAGTCGCCACGCCAACCGCCGCTGCCGCCGCCTCCGCCGCCTGACTGCCTACCGCAGCCGACTCGTCTGCGGCCGCCGCGCCGCTGGCGAGCAAGCGGTGCGCGGCGTGGGTGACGGCGATCTTAACGCGCGGGTCGGGCGACTCGAGCACCATTCGGCCGCACTCCGCCAGCGTGGCAGGCAACGCGATCCGATCCCACCCAACCGTCACACCGCCGCCGCGGGCTTTCATCGCCTCATTACTTCCGGAGTTTCCCGCGCCGCGCGGGGAATCAGAGGAATTGTCAGAGGCGGTTGGGGGTTCGCATGAACCCTTGGGTCCCCAGAACGTGTCTGTGCGGATCGCTGCGCTTCGCCATGCTCCCAGACCCACCCATTCCCGCGGCTCATTGAGAACCGTCCGATCGTTCTTTTCATGCCCCTGTGCTGGACGATCAACGGTGGATGTGTCACGGTTCCGCTGCGCAGCTCGCTCATGCTGCTGGATCTTCTCAGGATGTTCAGACAAGGTCTCTCCATTTCCACTGTGTGTCCTGGTTAGTGACCTATCTCTCTTACGGAATTGAAGGTCGCGGGAAATGTGACTCTCGCTTATTGGCGAAAATGACACTATTATGGGCCGTGAATGACCGGAGACTACGCTACTATTATTTGAACAAAAGTTGCGGTGGCAAGGACGCCTCGACGCGACCGTTGCGAGCGGTCGTGTGAGCTTGACGCTGACGTGGCGAACGACGGAGAGCAGACACGTCGGACATGTGATACGAAAGGGGACGAAATGGAGGGCCATTTGGAGATGTATGCGAGGGAGAGAGAGGTGGACCCGTAAAATGCAGCATGACTGATCACTCCTGGAAAGTGAAAGCCTCGTTACGGGAGGAACCGGAACAACACACAAAAACTTCCTACAGAGGAACCAGGCATAGAATCGAGCAGCTAGCAAGCCTTTCAAAATTGCAAAATCTCAGTGAACACCTAGTCATTCAAAGAGTCCCACACCCAGCAGCAAGCAGCACAGCCACAGCAGCACACCTTGACTCATCCGCTGCACACCATGCACTCTGAATCAGCAGCCTGGCAGCTCCTTTCCAGTCATGTCTCATCAGTGTCTTGACAATGGTATCCAGCCACGCGCTTCTATCTGCATCCAGGTGCATGCTGGTGAGCAGAATGTCAACAAGACCCTTCTGAACGTCACAGCAGAATCTGCTAGTGTCAATGGCAAAATGTGATGTCAATTTCGTTGCTAGAAGCCTCCTAACGCTGATCTCCAGCAGCTGGCTGATCTGAGGGCCTGACAGGCACTCAGAACCAGAATAAACCTGCAAACAACATCGACCATTGAGACGACTCTCTGGTAGCAAAAGTTGGCATGAAATAGCTAAAAGTACATGACAAGGAGCATCTTCAATGGACGGTCTTCAATTACCTCTTGAACATCAGCACGAATTTGGCTGAAATCGGACAGGACAACAGCTGGATCCTGATCCAAGTTGTACCCAGCACCGACAGCACGGTAGCCAGCAGTGCTGTCGTAAGCGCACGGGTGCCAGCCTTCAGTTATCGACAGGTACTGAGCCGTGCTTCTAAGGCACTTCGGCTCGGCGCCGTTGACAGCGGGCCTTGCCTCTTGCACTTGAGTCGATATTATGTTCAACCCGCCTCTATACCTGAACACGCCAGCTTGATTGCGTAACCTGGTCTCAGCATCTGAGATGCTCGTTCCAGTAATTCCTGAGACGTCATCTTTAAAGATGAGAAGACCATGACGGGTTTCCGGGGGTTGGACCTCGTAAAATTCATCTCCGCCATTTATTTTATCTTGGGCGACATCCGCAGCGGACACTGGATTCTGAGCAAGGAACACGCTCCAGAGAACAAATGGCATGAAACAGCAAATCGACATCCTTGCGGCATTTAAATTGAAAAACAAAAACTCTCTTCCAGGAAGAGTCACGAGCTATCATGTGACAACCTTCGCCGCAGAATGGATAATGGTCAGTCCCGCAGGACGACGTACCTGTTGCGAGACGAGTTCATGTGGTTTCGAGGTCCATCATTGGGAAGTTCGTCGAAGAATGTGGTTTCCAAGCCTCCTTTCGGATATCTCGAGGTAAATGGAGCCATGGCGGACAAATTACACAGATATCGAATGAGAGGCATGCAGCAACTTGCACATTTGAAAGAGGAATGCAAGTATATTTAAATATGTTTTTGATAACTAACTTTGTGCATGCGAGACACGTGCCAGTGAGACTAGCTACTTCAAGAGGATTTCCTTGGTGCACCAGCGTGAGCAGGCTCGAACCATCTGCCGTCGGACACAAATTCGTTACAGTGTTGACACACCCTCCGCCCCACCAGATCCCACCCCACCCTCCTTGGCTGACTTTGCGTACCTTGGTGTTGGTTCTTGAGACCCCATTGGGGGTCTCAACCTAGGATTGCAGTTGGGCCATTGCTAGTTAGGTAGCCTCCTGATGCTCAAATTTGTCTGTATCTTTTGTACACATATACATTGTAAATAAAGTGGTAGAATAGCACCCTGCCACAAAAGCCCGGTGAAGACCCGGGTTCGATTCCCGGCTGGCACAAAAATTTTCGATTTCCTTTGGAAAATGAGCCAAGTGTAGTGTTACGTACACGTTTTCTAGCAAGCCTGCCACAATTTTTCCCAACCCACCCACGTGCAAACATCGTCCGCCCTTCGCCGTCGCGCCGCACCCGATTCGGGATTCATTTCGATTTCAAGCCGAACGGCCCAAATGTCTCCTGATTTCACGTCGTGCGTTCTCAGAGTTGCCTTGACGCTCGGGAGCGTGAAGCTTTTTGTTGAGCAGCCCCCTGCACGCACGCAGCACAGCACACCGAGCAGGACTTGTCCTTGGCACCCGATCCGAGTCCCTCCGAACCGACGAATGCGGACGGCAGTTCGTTTGCCGAAGCAGCCTCTGAATCCGAAAAAAAGGCTATCCGTCTCGCGCTCACCAAATGCCAGACGCGGAGAGAGAATCACAGTTGAGTTTATACAGTACCAATTTACTCTCCTCGTTTGCTCAGTCAAAAAGATATCACTAGCTCGTCAAGTCCGATCAGAGGCTCTGAAGGTCTCGAAAGGTCCCTACGCAATAATCGAAGCTCTATGGTGCAATGCTTGTAATGAAGTGCGTTTCCTTCATTTGACTGTCCTTTCCAGCACGAAAGCGCTTCGAAACATCCCCATACAGCGCATCTCGGCACGCTGAGGAGTCGCCAATATTTCTTCCACCGACGATTCCCCATCCAGCGATACCAGTATTATTTAGCCGTCTGTTGCCCGTTTCCTCTTTGCGGACTCGAGACGCCGTACTACCAGGCCGCCTAGAAGTAGCCATGCAACGCACTGTGCTACTCGTTCTTCTCGTGCTTCTGGTGGCGCCGTGCTTCACGACGCGGGTCGCGGCGTCGTCGTGCATCACGGCGTGCACGGTGCCGGGGACGGAATACGCCAACGCCAAATGCGTCAAGCACTGCACGGTACGTCGAGTGTTGCGCTGTGCGTTCAAGCATTGCATATTGCGCGGTGAATTAAGCACTGGACAGCGGGTCAATCATTGCGCTGTGCGTCAAGCATTGCATGTTGCGTTCAGCTTTGCACAGTAAGGCCGCATGAGGAGGTGAGTTCGGGTCGAACCAAGAATCGCCTCATAAAATTCGGTACTGCATGTTCCGCGGTGCACTTGTGAGCCAATCAAAGAGTCGCCTTTAGCACCGGCAGCGCGGTACCGTGCACGCACGGCGCACGCATGACGCACGCAAGGTCAGCGTGCTCCTAGTAAGGGGCGTTATCGGCACGGGCGGGATTGTAAATTTGTTTAGCGACGTCTCAAATCAGATGCACAATCACATGGCGCACGCAAGGTCAGAGTGCTCCTACTGTAAGGGCGTTCCGGGAACGGGTGCGCGCGGCATGAGGCACGACAGCACTGCGATGCTTACACGCATTGACCCGTTCCGTCCGGCAGGAACTTCGTTTTTCTGGACTCGATGTGGTCTACTTGGAAGCGCCTCAGTGCACATACAGCCTGTTTGTGGATGAGAGTATGTTTGTTGAGACACCTCAACTGATGCGCGATACCGCTGTGATTGTTTGTTCTCACTGCGTGTTACTTCATCAAATATCATCAACTGCTCTCAGCATCCCCGTTTTCCACCTTTGTCCCCTCTTGCGTTCCAACGACTAACAGGCATGCGTGGCCGATACACCCCCATCTTGTAACGCGTATTTCAGACCCGCCTGGAGCACGTCGTGTGAGTCACCCTTGTCTCCCAACAACATAGGTCCCGCTTATCGCATAGCATCCGTCGTTTGTTCCTCTTCACCTAGAAGCTTCCTCAGATCACCATTCTCCACCCACCTCCTGACAGCTCCACCGTTTCTCGTTCTCACCAGTCTCCACCCCCCTCCCTTCCATTACCCTGTCTCGCCCCCTTCGGACCTTCCAGACCGTTACATTCGGTATGAGTGCGCGACGAGCTGTCCGCCCACTCTCGCCTGGTCGCAGTTCCTGGTGGTTACCGTCGCGATTCTCTTCGTTTCCGTCGCCGTCGGCGTCACTTTCTATGCGTGCATAACAATGAGGGTTCGATGACGTGCGTTTGTCAGGGCTCTCCTCTTAGACACACCCTCCTGCAACCCCTTCGTCTCCAATGGTTCTTAGACAAGACAAGCGGTCGCTTGTTGGCGCGAATCTCACACAGAACGGGCAGTCGCTAGTTGGCATACCTGGGTACTGCATTTTGGGGGCACTGGGGTTGCGGTGCAGCTTGGCAATAGTATGTAACCGAAAGGACAAGGGGCTTGGTTACTGGCCATCTTGGTGTTTTACGTCGCTTGATTGATTGGGTTGGTGTGGGATTGTTCGTGGTTGCAAGTCTTGTACAGTAAAAGTTTCACTAATGTGAGCGAGAAAACCAATAAATGAATGCGGATGAAATCAGAAAGCTAGAGCATTGTCTACTCTCGAGCCCATCAGCAGTAGCCAAGCCGTTGTCCAGTCCTCGACAAATACTACCCCCACCTTTAAGCTTTCTCCATGCCATCCTGCCTGGAACCAAACCCCCCCTATGTGACTCACCGCGTATACTACTCTTTTCCCCCTTTGCGAATCGAGATCATTAAAGCCCCTTCTAGTAGTCACGTCGGAATTTTCCAGCTATTGTGCTGTTCAATGTCGTACCAACGGCGAATGA